AGAGGGGTACTTACGAGAAAGGTGTTATGCATGTGCATATGACTATGATCGGACCGAATGGTTTTAGGAGCTTTAGCGTTATTTAGGACTAATAGAATCAATAATTGTAAAGGCTTTATGGTAGCACTAACTGTTGTATGACAAAATAATAGCTAAAAACAACTTAAATAATGTGACCAAGGACTTTTGATGTGACAAATTTGTGACACAGTGTACAGTTTTCATCATGGACGACCCCATTGAGGATATGTTTAATAAAGTTGAAGACAATTTTAGCTGGTTTAGCAGTACTGTAGATTGGCAAATGATTATATTAAAATGTATGAGGAGTCAACCACTACTCATTTTATATTATTATTATTATTATTATTCGACTGATGTAGATTCATCTATCCAGGTTGACAATAATAAATATCAATTAAAACTTTATATCTCTGGATAAAGCAGAAAACAAAAGAACTTACGTTTTAAGCTTTCGACTATCACTGTAGTCTTGTTCACAATGACACACGATGGAAATTGCGTCATAGGGATTGTGACGTCAGCGGTGGGGCTGGGTGGGCCTGGTCCTGCTCCCCCTCCTCCATTCCTGCTTTTAAAGTGTTGTTCCATATGTTTGGAAGATTATATCTTCCACCATCTCCATTCAACGTTGGTCTGTTGGCCCTGATGTAGATTGCTTCCTTGACCCCTCTCTCAAACCATCTTGGTTCCACAGTTAGGATTTTGGCCTTATCAAATTTGACGCTGTGACCTGGAAACTCAGTGTTAATATGTTTTGAGACTTCCGACGAAGTAGAGCTCTTTCTTCGATGTTCTAGAAATCTTGTTTTAAATGCACGTTCTGTTTCTCCAATATAGGAGGCTTTACAATCTTGGCACTTGATCTGGTAAACCGGACCAACAACTCTCTCTTTACTTAACCGGTTCTTCGGGCATACAAGATGTTGTCTTAAGTGTGTTAGTCGGTTTGAAAAATACTGGTACATCGTAACTTTGCATTACTCGACGAATCTGTTCTGACACCCCCTTGATATATGGTATCCCCACCGGGTATTTCCTTAGTTGATCTCTTCTGTTCACATAACCCTCTAAGGAAGTAGCTGTACTTCGTCCTCTTGAATGTGTTTCTGAGACCTCTCTGTTTAAAAACCAATCTGGGTAATCATTCCTTCTTAGGGCTTTCCTGATGTGTTTGACCTTTGATGTTTTGTCCTGGTCATCACTTACAATGCTATTGGCTCTATTAAGTAATGTTCGTACCACACCCCGTTTGTGTTCTAGTGGATGGTTGCTGTCAAAATTCAAATACTGGTCAGTGTGGGTATCTTTTCTGAACACTTTGGTTTTAATTGATCCATCCTTGTTAAATACTGTCCAAGTGTCCAAGAAATTCAATGTTCTTTTCACGTTGGTGCCCTTGTCCAGAGTTCCTCCATTCGTGTCGTCTATCTCCACTTCACCCTCAGTTGTCCATTTGATGTCTCTGTCCACCGTATTGATGTGAGTAGTGAACGCCGCCGCATGTTCTTTCTTCATTATTGCGTTCGTGTCATCCACATATCGACGCCACCATCTCGGAGGATGTAGAGCAGAGGTAATAGCTTTCTTTTCGAACTCCTCCATATAGAGGTTGCACACAATAGGAGAGACTGGTGATCCCATAGCAGCTCCATGAATCTGTAAGTAAAATTGGTTTCGGAAGGAAAAATAAGTGCACTTCAAACAAAAATCCACCAACCGAATGATGTCACATGGCTGCAATGATGTTCTCTCTTTCAAAGTAACATCCTCTTCTAGTCTTTCTTTTATCACTACCAATGCTTTATCATTGGGTACACTGGTGAAGAGGGCAGACACGTCATAAGAACGTAATTCCTCGCCTGGTGCTATGATCATCTGGCTCACCTCCTCAGCAAAATCCCCAACATTTCTCACATGATATTCACCTAGTCCAACTAAAGGTAAGGAGACATGATTTTAGCTAGACATCGAGCACATTCGTACGTAATGGTCCCGATGGAGCTGACTATAAGTCTCATGGGCATGTCCTCCTTGTGAACTTTTGGTAAGCCATAAAATCGAGGAGGTTGGTCTACTGTGGGATACATTTGTTTGTGTATGCTGGTAGGAATTATTCCCCTATCTTTGAGATCTATCCTATGACGCAATTTCCATCGTGTGTCATTGTGAACAAGACTGCAGTGATAGTCGAAAGCTTAAAACGTAAGTTCTTTTGTTTCCTGCTTTATCCAGAGATATAAAGTTTTAATTGATATTTATTATTATTATTATTATTATTATTATTATTATTATTATTATTATTATTATTAATTATTATTTTTATTCATTATTATTATTATTATTATTATTATTATTAATAGTATTTACAATAATCATTTTCTATCTTTAAAAAGTGTGTAAAATAAGAACATTTAGCCCGAAATCGACCAAATGTAAGAACACTGAAACTCGACAAAACTGGTTCTTATTAAAAAAAAAAGTGTACTAAATTAAAGTATGTGTTCTTAATGTGCTAAATTAAAATTGGTACTGTCACTGGAATAGGCATAGTTATAGGCCTATTTATCTTATTAAATTATTACTTAATATTTGTGTTGTTAATTACCTTGTCAATAAGAGGCATAATTATTAGGCTAAATGTTATTAATCATCATGATTGATAACTATTAATAATAAGTATTATTCAACTTTTGGGGTAATATTCGTATACTAAAGCTGAGTGATTATTAAAGTAAAATGTTGATGATGTGAGTATACTGTAATATCGAACTCCATATTTCCTTGCTATAGTATCGGGTCTAATATACAAAAATGTCTGCAAAGCAGACTTGGCCGGCCCTCGCAGAAGTCCGTTTTTCCTAAAAAAAAAAAAAAAAAAAAAAAAACCTTATGATAGCTAACCGTATGTTTCCAGTGGTGGGGCCAGAAATTTGCTGAAAAGGGGTCCGACGTGCCCGACGGAGGGGTCTGATGGGGTCCAAGACGACGGCGAAGCCTCGGTCGTCGACCCGGAATTAAAAAAAAAACACCCTCTTGGAGTTCATAGAGAGAGTTTTTACGGCTTGATTTGGTCTAAATGTGCAATCACAATACCGTTATTTTGTATAGGCAAATTATTATTTTTTTAAACTTTCGTTCCGACGACCTAGTCGTTCGTCGGACGACAGGGGCCACCGGTCTGTCCGACCGGACGACCCCTTCCCCACTGGCACTACCACTGTCTGTCATGAAAAAAACCACTCAACTGACAATTTTTTTTTTCAAAATGCACTTTTTAGCGTTTTGCACTTTTGGGGAATTAACACACCTTGTGATGTATTCAGATTTTTGAAATTATAACGGAAAATATGAAATTTAAAAACTAAAATATCACTCAACTTCAAGTCTGTGTTACGTTTGTCAGCAAAGACGCACTCCACTGAAAATGTTATGAAAGACTTAACTGGCATTTAATACCTATTAATAGTTTATCATGAGAAACCCACTCAACTGCGTAGTGCTGCATATTGTTTACCATTGAGAAAGACGATTGTCTAATGTATATAACATTACTTTCACATAATCATTATAAACAATATCTTCATGTGTGCACAATATTGTTATTAAGGAAACATTATCTCATACTTTTTGGCATAAGTCATACTAGCAAAATATGGATATCAATCTTTTTTCTCTCTACAAAAGCCTTGTATTGCCTGGCCTTGAGTATGCTCAACCCGCCTGGTTTCCATGAACTGAACTAAAACTTTGTCAGATCTGCTTGAGGGAGTCCATAGAAGAGCAACTCGTCTTGCTCTTAAACAACATCGAGGACAGATGAGCTTTGAGGAGAGGTTACATTTGCTTTCTTTTTCATCTTTGTCTGTCAGAAGGGACAGATTGCTTATTATTTTTTGCTTTAAAGTTCTGGCGAGCCTTGTAGACTGCAGCACGGTTTTTGATGGTGTTGAAATCAATACCACACATAACGATCGCTTGTGTTTCCGTCATCAAGCATCACGGACCCAAGCATTTTTCAAATCGGTAGCCATCAGATTGCCTGGTGTCTGGGACCAGCTCCCTAGATTGTTACCGATGCTGCTGTTCTAGAAAGCCCATCCTCTTTTAATGTGTTGCTGAATTTGGGGTTGGGTAAACCGGCTTTGTTTGTTTGTAAACTCTGGTTGTCCCTCGTCTCCCCAAATTTCAGTTTTCTTTTTTTTTTTGCCGCTCTCTTTTTGTTCTTGTTTAATGACCAAATAAATAATTAAATTAAATTAAATGAAGTATGAAAAATAGTCTTAAAATTACAGGAAAAACACAAATTTACACCACAGAATCCAAAAATCACACACAAACAACCAAATTAAACAAGATTATGAAACAACAAATTGGAATTACATACATAGGAAATTATAGGTCATTGAATTATTGTTATTATTATGATATTATTAATATTTTTGCTATTATTATTATTACTATTATTTATCATATACATTGCTTTTAATATTAAAATTGTTATTGCTAATTATTATAATTTGTAAAAGATCTATGCCTATACGAGAAATTCTATAAGGTATGGTAGCGGACTGTGTTTATATCGGTTGGTTTTATACATCTAAATTTATCATATTTTCTAGGCTTTCTCAGAGCAATAGATGCTTCTGAGCTTGTCCGATTTGGAAACCATGAACTAAATCTACAGGTTTCACTAGCCTTAATAGCGAAACTCTTACATATGTTCTTTCGACGGGTTGATAAACTTTCTAAACTTAAGGTCTTGAGAGACTCTTCCTAAGAGATATACCCCTCAGATAGAATAGGGCGACATACACGTTTCTGAATTCCCTTCTAAATGAGCCAACTGTGCTCTAGTGAGGCCAGAGTTCCACAAAGGCGCACCATACTCCAACAGAGGGCGGATATAAGATTTGTAGATACAAGTCAACTCATAGTGATCCAAAGTAGCTTGTTTCAGTTTCCTAATCATGAATGAT